GGGGGGGGGGGGGGAAAATCAGTCAATCTTAGGCTGCTTGCAGGCATTAACAAAACCTCAAAACAAACAAAAAACACTGTAACAAAAGTAGCAGCGCATTACTTTGACCCTGCTCCGCAGCATCTGTATAGATCAGGCGCTTCAGCAGGGTTTTTTGGTGCTTTTATCTAAAACTGATTCAATCAGCTATTGCATAAAACAGCAAAAGCCCCACTAAAACACCCAATCTATATAGATGGTGGGCGAGCCAGGTCCAACTAACACAATGCTTCTTCTGGGCATACACTGGGCTTGGCACAGGAGTGCACCGAATTTAAAGTAAAGCACTGGGTTTTTTGTTTTGTCTTGTTTTTTTAACAGCTGCAAGCTATAGCAATTAAGCAAATGAGAGAGAACTGAGGGGAGGGTGCTTTTTTTTTAAGGTGATATCAGAACTACTTGGGGGACTGATGGGAAATTATATGTCAAGTGTAAGAGTATGAATGGTACCAAGTTGGTCTTTTAAGCCAGAATGAAAAAAAAATGAAGTTGACACTCAAAGTAGTCAGAAGGGAAATCTACAAAAGGAAACTTTTGAGCCAATGTATCATTAGCTGGTGGAACCAACAGCAGGACAAGGCAGCAAAACAACAATACTGCTTCAGCATGATTCAAGATATTACCTTGCTTTTCTACATCAGCTAAAACAGTTGTATTAACTAGGGCCTGGATGGCCAACTTAAGGCACATGTACCACAAATGACACAGGCAACCCTGTGTGTGCAGCATGTGGCAGACCAGGAAAAGGACAAACAATGCAGCGGCCGGAAGCAGAAAGCAGAGCACCAGATCAAGCAGAGAGCACAGGACAGGAACCAGACAGCAGAGCAACTAAATGGGCAGGGACAGGGTATGGGGTGGTATCTGGGGACGGACACTGGGCTAATTTGTGGCATGCCTGCCAAAAAGGGTCAGGCCCCAAGGACATAACAGGCTTCAGTGACTCAAAACAAGCCAGGAATATACTGCTGACTAATGAAAAATTGTCCCCAGTAATTGAGGGATTAGACAATACCATGTGCACTGATTTTTACATTACATTTCTGACCCAGGACAAATCAGTGATCCTCAAGGCTTACAGCAACGGTGCACTAGTCTAGAGCCAAGGGGGTGCAGCTGCTAAGGCAGATGAGTTTGGCCCCATTTCAAAACACAATATCTACAGATCAGAAAGGAGCACAGCTTTCTCTCTCTCTCCCTAAAAGACACGAGATAGAGAACCCCATCTCCAAGTCTTGTAAAAAGTCATTTTCTCCCCACAAAGACAAAAAAAGACTAAACACATAGTATAAATATTAAGACCTTTTAAATTCTCTTTATCTTTTATTTTGATTATACTTCTATAATTATACTAACTAAATGACAATGACTTTGGTAAAAGATACTAACGTATCCAACAGCAAGTTTTTAAAAAAATACTACTCTCCGAGTTAAACTGACTTTTTAAACTCAGAAGCCCTTAAATAATCTCTACTTGTATCCTACAGCAGCAATTTTATCCATTACCATTTCAGCTTAAGTTGATTAAGTTAAAGCAGTACAACTTATATGTACACATGACTGGTTTGTGAACATTCACACTCTTCATCAGATTTCATGGTGCTCACCAACCTGACTCAAAGTTATCATTAAGTTAATCAGACAGAAAATAAAATTGTGTATATTATTAAATAATTATATTACCATAAAAGTGCCCCTACAAATAAAATATAAACTGCAACAACTCATTATTTACACCATAGGGCTCCC